TATCTGTACAAAGGTATACTGAGTTGTAATAATAAGCCTTAGGAATATATTCACATTGAAAATGGCACTTTTTGTCCTCCTTATAAACCTGGTTTTGTTGCCTGTGTCACTTTTCATTGAGCATTAAGGAGTCTGCTGCCTGCAAAGTGTTGGTATATAGACATAATTGAGCCACTGTGTTGGATACATGTCTACACCAACATAATTCACATGCCATTGACAAGGTAATGTTTTGTTTACGTTTTAAGAAGGAACATTTTTACATCATTCTAGTTGTTATTTCTCATGGAGTTCTCAGTAAAAAAATATAGGAAAGAAAAATTTTCTGACCTCTCATTTCTATTATTGCAAACGCATCTGATTGGTGTCAATATCAGTATCGTCAGACATTAACACAGCGCCACCTAGTGTTTCATCCGGCTAGTTCCTGAGTCACGTGAGCTCTTGAAGTTTGGTGAGACGGTGGGGTCCAATTTCAACATCAAATTTGGTGGACCGCATCGGGGGCTTGCGCATGCGTATTATGGTACCTAGTTTTAAATGTGTTTTATTAAGCATTTTAGTTGTCACTCGGCTTATCACATTGTTTAGCTAGCCGCAAATTCACGTATAGAAAGCCAAGGAACATTATATAGCCCTAAAACCTCGGAACTACATTTCCCAACATCCTTTCAGCTGCCCTGTAATACGGCGTGTCGTAAAACTTAAAAGGAAAACGGTGATGGACTCCGCCGGAGACGCCTGACAGTTTTTGTCTTCATCTTTAATTGTTGTCTGAAATGTTCATCTAGCGACGCAGTGCTTCGGTTCACCGGACCAGTGAAAATGGAGGCTATGGAAGATGACAGTTTGGACGTAAAAGACGACCATAACCACAACTACCGCGCGAGCGGCAGTAATAAAGTCCGCACGTATCTTAGCAGCCAGCTGTCGGAGATATCGACGGTCCCGCAGCCCGTCTGTGCGACGGTGCCGGTTGGAGAAGCGGGTACTCGACAAGGGAAACTGTGGTCCGGTGCAACCGGCGGGTCAAAGTTCATGGACTCGGATACAGGCAGCGAGAGCAGCGAAGTCAGCGAGACTGACAGCACCGCTCCGGGAGCTGCTTCCGAGGGAAAATTCGCCCTCGACTCGACTTCCAAGTTCCGTAAGTTCACTCGAAGCAGGGCCCGAGAGCTCACGGTCTCAACGCAGCTCGGCCTCCGATTATGTTAGTAATGTATGTGGAGAGTGATGCTTTTGGCTTCTGTTCGGTCTGACATGAAGGCTTAATTCAGCTCCCCTCTCTTCACACAGTTCTGAATGCAATGGCAGTGGAGGACTACCGGAAAAACCACTGGCCAAACCTGGAAAAGGCAGTTGACCGTCTGCTGATTCAGAATCCCACAGACCACATCTCGGTTTCTTATGCACAGATATACAGGTGAGACAGCACAAGTAAAGGGATGTTGAATAAACACCCCTCTGAACTAGACACCCCCCCCCTCAGATTATGATTTCTGTTGCCATAAGAAGCGCCATATATATATATATTACCATGTGATTAACTGAGAATTTTAATATAACCTCAAATGCCTGTCTTTTGTTTTCCTAGTTATGTCTACAAGTGTGTTTGTCAGCAGCACTCTGAGCTGCTCTACAATGATCTGACATCAAAAATAACAGGTCACCTGCAGCAGGTTTCCGCCCATCTACAAGTAAGCAAACCCAAATGCAAGATGTAATCGTACAGCACATGCAGAAACTAAAAAACTAACTCTTTTTGCAATGTTTTGCAGGCTAGCCCACTCGAGAACTTCATTGAAAATTTCAACATTGCACTGACACAATATATAGCTTCTCTTCAGTGTATAGTCCCCGTCTTTATGTACTTGGTAGGTACCACTTATCAGCTTTTTCCCCCCCCTTTTTAATCAAATATTTGGCAAATCCCATGCAGGGAAGTGTAGTTTTGTGTTAGTTTGTTACTTAAATTTATGTTTGCACACGCTTCTCTTTTCAGAACAAGTTCTACATTGAGTCCAAACTGAACCGAGACCTCAGAGAGGATCTGATGAAGCTGTTCGCTGATCACGTCGCAGAAAAACACGTGAACACACTGATGCGTGAGTGTACCGCTTCATCTCATGCGCTTTGCTCTGATTAATCACGATGTGATGCAAAGTCACAAAAAGGGGAAATTAAATAAATAAAAATCCTCCCTTTGGTCAAGTCAGTTGACACCATCTTGTCCATTGTGCTCGTTCTTTTCAGCTCTGCTCATTAAAGCTCGGTCCATGCCCTTTGAAGTGCAACCCTCAACAATGGCTAGTGTGGTTAAGGGCCTCTACAGCCTCCGACCAGGTGATTTTAGATAAATTATTTATCTCACACTCCTCTTATTCACAGATTTTTTTTTTTTAAATTAATTAATTAATTTTTGATTTTGGTTTCCTCTCTCAGAGTGGGCCCAGCTCGCCCCAGATCTCTTCTCCGGGTTTATCCCCCAGATTAACCCTCCTGCTGTAGAGTCTCTGCTGCAAGACTACGCTGCTCATGACCAGAAACTACAGATGGAGCTCTCCATGAATGGATTCCCACGGTCAGTTTTCCAGAGTCTTTAGCATCAAATGAAGACTGAGTCACATCTGCTTTAACTTGGGTCTTGTGCTTGTTTTCCAGAGGTGACCAGTCTCGCAAACGGGCCAGCGAAGACTCGTGATGGCCGGCGTCACTGGATTTGCTGCAGAACTAATACTGTGCCTCTTAAGTCTTTATCACAAGTTGTCTCCCTGGACTAGGTACAACGCTAACAGTGCGTCATCCCTTTTTAACTCGAGGTCACGAAACACTGTGAATAACAAAGACAGCATGATGGGTTGTTGAGCAGAAGGATTTAAAAAAAGGAAAAAGTGGCTCACAGACTTCCATTTTGGTGCTTTCCTTCTGATTTCTTCATCTTCCGCTCATCTGAAGAGTGCCTTCACGGTGTCCGTCTGACTGAATATCATGATGAAGCTGACGATCCATTCCTAACCTTTAACATGGAAGTGTCTTGTGTTGTCTTTGATATACGGGGCTAATTAAGACTCTATTGCTGCTGCTAATAATATTGTTTGTGTGTTAATATCATAAATCCCTTGGTGTCGCCCACATATTGTGTATCTCAGTGGCTACAGTCAACACAAATGAGTGTGGAAAGAAGTGGGAGCTAGGTCACTCAGCTTAGCTATGACTCTCTTCTTCCTGTTGCTTAAAATGTCTTATCATGCTCAGTCATCCAGGTAAGTAATTCCCAAAAAGTTGATTCTGTTCATCTGGATGTAGCGTTTTCAGTGGGAGAAACATTTTTTCGTCACTTATCCCAAGTGACTTCTTCAGTCTCAGCTGAGTGCAGGTTTCCCCAACCAAAGACCATGGTTTTTGATCAGTTGTTGTTGGTCAGCTGAGACTGAAGAAGTCACCGATTGACGAAAATGTTTCTCCCACTGAAAACGCTACATCCAGATGTAGGGGTTATTGCTGTTGCCTTTACTGTTTGGGTAAGCCAGGTTGTATTTTCCAGTTTTGCCAAAGAGGATAACTGTTCTTTTGTTTTTTCTTTAAACACAATGTGTTGGGTTCCAGTTTATGTTCTCAATGTTGTATGCTGTCTGAGTCACTGAGCCATTTAATTTTATTCTTTACTAATAAGTTAAAGCTTTGGTTCACCCACTGGTTTACCCTCAAGTCATTCTGCCTTTAATGACAACTTGTTTGTTTAAGCCTTGCACGTAGGAGGAGGTGGTTGCCGTATACAGGAAGTAACACTGAGTGCCATACAGTTAAAAGGACCACATAATACCATTTGAGGATTTCCTGATTTTATTTTATTTTTACATTTTTATTTATTTTATGTAACCTCACCTTGCCTAAATTTCCCCCTAAATTGCCACCTCCATGTTTGTATTCTTGGACCCAACCAGAGTGGCTCTGCATGATTTCCCATCCAAAAGAATCCCTGTTTATCTTATACTGAGCCTCAGTGCCGCCTGAAGCAGTATTGTTTTTGGGCTCGCTTTCTTTTGATTGGCTGCCGCCGCATGAACAAAAGATTTGAACAGCAAGTAGGAGGGGCTTCAGTCACAGGCCTGCATAGCTGAATGACCGTATTAAGGATATCTGCTTAGAGTGACATCATAGAGAGCCGGGGGGAAAAAAATCTGTCTCAAATTAAGTGTTTAAAGCAGTTTGATACCTCAGCCTCGCAGTGGTTACCCGTATGTTCACTGCACTCATGATTTGAAACTCTGATGATGTTTAGTTTGAGCAGTCACCACTGGAACAGGATAATGGGTCCACTTTAACAAAGCAAATGATATGCAAATGTGGTTTTGTGCCAGAGCACATGCTCTTCATGTTGTAAATAGTTTTTGCCTCTCCATACCGGTATGTGTACACTAGCTTTTGTCACAGGTGCGTTTTTTGTTAAACAAGTCACTCGAATAAATGTGTTTGATACAAGTTCCTACACTGTTTTAAGTGTAATTAGATGCTCAGGCTTGCTTTTTGTTTCTATCTCGCGTTACTTCAAATGAACTAATCACAGGACATGATTTCATTATTCTAGCTTTTACAACTGGGTCCTGTCATCAAGCAGGGTTGTTATACAGCTAATGAAGTCAAGAGGAATCTAAATCATTAGGGATGCTGAACACTAGCTGTACTAGATTACATGTCTCACCTTTTAATTTTACATGATGCAAAATTAATTCATGTTTAAACCCACTGTGAATGGCTCAAATACTGTTTCAGCAATCTGTTTTTATCTCAAAATCAATAAAATCCTTCAGTCTTAGTATTTGTAACACTAATGACAGACGCTTACTGTTGTCGTTTCTTTATCTAATGCAAATTCTGTTTGGAAATAGATTTTTATCTGCTCATCTGCAGGGTTCACACGAGTGTGTCAGTGTGTGTTTGTGTGAGTGAGAAAGGTTCGCCAAGGGGCTTCTAATTCTGCAGTACGGAGGTCTGCGATGAACCACAGGAGGAGGAATCCCTACAGCACAGCTCCCCATGACCAATAAGGAGGGACACCACCCAGCCACATGGGCAAGGCCTCCCCCAAAATAACCTGCCACTATTGCACTGACAAATGTTGCTACTTTTACTGGTGACAGGTTACCGTAGCTGCCCGGCTCCACATTTTCCTGTAAACTTCAAGGTTAATTCTCAGCAAGAAAAGAGGGAAGGCCGAGCAGCTGCCGGTGTCTGAGATTTTCCTGGGTGGCAGGAGCCTGAAGACTGGAATCGGCCCCCTTTCAGCACAGGTGCACTCTGAGGATTTACTAGTCCTTCCACAGGGGCCAGCTGGGTTTATTCTGAAGGTAAAAACACACCGGCCCCTAATTTAATTGTTCATGCATCTCGTTGACGTCTGTTGGCATCAGCCTCAGATGCTGTGTATAGCCTCAGAAACACTGACACTGAGCCTCAGACAAGCTTTAATCTGTTTCTGTTTGGACCATACGTTCCTGTTTAATCCAATGAGCTTAACCTGTGTGGACTGTTGTGTTTAGTCAAGGGGTCTGTTCATGTGTGTCATCTCACTCAGCAGTGCCACACTTATGATAATTATAGTAGTGTTTGTGTAACTTGATTAATGATCAAACTTATGATAGCAAGAGCCCACAGGTGCATTGCTGCTGCTTTTCTTTTCTTTTTTTCTTTTTGTTGATTTCCCTTCAGTAAACTGACCCCTCGCTATTATTAGATATGACTTGGTAGGCTTGGAGCCTGTTTGCAAAGGATAAATGTACACAACAGCTGCAGCTTCAGGTCTGTTGGAAGGGCATCGCTGTCTCTCCTAATTGCACTGATTTGAGTGTCAGTGGCATATGTGTACCCTATCTCATGTCTGCATTCAATAACTTGCTCATGCATGGTGTCAGAAAGCGCTGCAAAATCTAAACCTCATAAAAATGTTGATCTGAGGTGGTCAGGGGGGTAAAAAAGCCTGCCTGTGTCTCTCAGATCTGGTGACAGCACATGAACCTGATACCCTGTCGAGGCTGAATTTAGGCTAAAATAAAAAGCTATTTTTATTACATATCTCTGCTTTTAACCCCGGGCTCTGCATTCATGTTGTGACTGCGTGCCAAATATTTCACAAGGCATTGTTCAAACAAAACTGCAGTAGCGAGAGTTAAAGCTCAGATAATTATCACTGTATAGTTTTTACTGACTCCTTAACACACGACGCAGACAAAAAGCATTGAAACAAGACATCAGCTTCTGAACATAAAGATCTGATAAACCTGTCAGAGACCTAAAGAACCATGAATGATTTCTCAGATTTACTGTTTACTCGCTGGGAATCCAGTTAGTTTCTTGATAAACTGTTAACTCAGTGTCATTAATTAGTGGAAATAGAAAATTCAATAGCTATCACTATCTAACAAAAGTCAAAAGAGAAACAGTTAATTTTCATGTTTTGGCATCTTTTGATTGAGATAGAATAGAATAAAATAAAACTGTAAATCAAGGATATACATGTCATATATACTGTTTATTAAACATGGCCAAAGTTACTGAAATAAGTAATCATCATGAGTCCAAACACTCAAGCTTCCAATTGCTTTAAAAGCATTCAGTTTCAGATAGTGGCCAGAGTGCCTGAGATAACCATAAGAATATACTCCTCTCTGACGTCATACTGAGTCACTTGTAGAAAAACAGAGGGTGATGAGGGGCAGCGAATCAGAAAGTTGGATTAAATAAAGAAGGACGGGAGTGAAAATGCCTTGTTTCAAACAGAAGGTGAATTGAGGCGCTATACCGAGGCGCCTTATAAGATCAATGACATGTGAAAAATCCCAAGCTACTCCATTAGTGTCCAAGAATTAAAATATGGAGGAAATGAGCCACTATAATATATGTTTGTCGCAGATTTTAATCAGGACTGGATTTGTTTGTACATAAGGAGTTATTCTGACAACTGAGTGCTGATTGTCAAGCAGCAACTTTTCTAAATGCTTGAAGTCAGCAAATTGATGTTTTGCATTAGTTTGTCCTCAGGAGTTAGATTTCCATCCACAGCTGTTTAAATATTTTCAATCTCAGATCACACAGGATGCGTGATCACACCACTGACTGCATTAGGATAGAAGCTGATCACGTCAAAATGTATTTGTTTGTGACATTTCACTCTGCTGACATTCACTGATTTACATTCATGTGGATCAGCTACACACAAGTGTGCAGGGTGTCTTGTTTCTTTCACGTTTGTTAATGACTTATTTAAGAGGAGGGGGCAGGAAATTATTCTATAAACCTGCAGAGGATCACATTAAGCCCGAAAGCCTACATGAATGTTTTTACTTTCATACTTTTTAAATTAAATCTTGTGTTTATTTTAGCAACATGCAAGAGAACAGCATTGACCAGCCACCGTCGCTGTCTCAGCTCTTAAGGGAGAGTTACCTGGCAGAAGCCACAGCCCAGCAGCGCCACAGCGAGATGAGCCGCTCAGACGCTTCGTCCTCTCGCATTCAGATCTACGGGTCACTCAAAGGCAAGGCGGAGGACACTATTGGCCACAGTGACCCCCAGTTTCCAGACCTTTCAGCCTTCCTCAGCCAGGAGGAACTGGATAAGAGCGTGAACCTGGCCCGCCAGGCCATCGGACACGAGCCTCGTGAGGAGAGGGCAGAGGTCAAAGCCTCTGTCACGCCATCTACCCCGTCCAGAATCTCCTCACCCTCAGTTTCTTCATCCACACCCAGTTCTGTTCCCATCTCTAACCCCTCTAATGCTCCTTCTGCTTCCCCCTCAACTGTGCCCCTCACTCAGCCGGAAAATTTCACATCTGACAGAAAGATGCACAAAGCATCCACACGGCAGGACAATGTGATCAGGAGCAGCAGGGACTTTGGTGAAGGATTCCAAGACTATAACAGGTCAGCAAGAAATGCCCCTTACGGTGTGGAGACCCAGTCCAAGAAGGAGTTCCTCAATAAGGCAGCTGACTTCATTGAGGAGCTGTCCTCTCTGTTCAAGGCCAACAGCTCCAAACGGATACGCCCGAGAGCCTGCAAAGCCCACAGGAGCAGGATCCCAAACAAGAGCCAGAACGATGGGACAACTTATCCCCTCGTCGCTGACAACCGGGAGCGCGCAGTCATGTCCATGGAGGTGGAGAAGGAGACACCCAGCCCTCCCGTTACACACCAACCAGTTGCCCAGCTGGGTTCTGAGACAGGACATGTGGAGTTTCAGGACTGCTCGATTACTGAGGAGCACCAGTGTGACTCTGTGCTCCAGGAGGCGGAGGAAGAGCCTCAAAGCTTTGCCTTAACAGAAACTCCATATCCAGCAGAGCCTGTGTGTGAACCGCCTCGCTTCATCCAGAAACTGAAAAGCAGGGAGGTTTCTGAGGGCACCAAGGTCCGGTTGGACTGCATTGTTAGAGGACTCCCTCTGCCTGAAGTCCGGTAAGATCATAAGTCATCATTAAGTTATTCTTTGTTTTGCAGGACACAATATCTGTTTCAGACTCTACACATTTTTTTCAAATGCAGTGTTTGTAAAAGCTCAATGTGCTGTTGGTTTTCCTCAACAGAAGCATCCCAGTGGACTTTTAGCAGCACACACAAGGGTCTAATTCGGCTGAAAGATTTTTTTTGAGTAGTGAGTACATAGCATGAGAACACAAGTGATACAATGTTACTTTGTACTTCTTCTTCTTCACTACTGTTCAGCAGCAAATATCAAACTTTCTACTCCACTACATTTATTTTGCAGCATTAGGTTAGTGATTTTGCATTTGGTACATAAAAATATATCTTAAGCTTTTACTGCACAATATAATGATTTTTAAAAATGTAACCATGTTTAAGTATTGCAACAGACATTTATTACAAAGGTAAAAGTTTGGGGGGGGGGGGTTCTGCGGGCCTAATCCTCTTCAGCTAGCCTTCATTTATATGGAGAAAAGCTACTTTCGGCTGTTCCTTCTCCACAAGGGGTCATCATGGTGAAGGAAATACACTTTAATATGTTATTTTTTAAATATATATATTTTATTTGGTAGATAAAATAATGAATTAATGGTATGCCCATGCTTTTTAAACACTGCACACAGTTATACATATGCATACTAGAGTCCAGCACCTGATAATATTAACATTTCATACATGTATTGGCACCTATGTATGTAACAATGAAATGTCCTGATCAGCATGTATAACTCTGTATTCTTTGCTGATCAAATGCAAAAGATGAAAACGGTCTTTTCTGATGTGATTTATATATTTATTTTAAAAGACATATTTTGGTTACCTGTCGTCAGAGCCCGTCTCTAAATTACAAAGTCATTTAGGTTGTAACTCTGGATGAATGGCGCAGAGGTTTATTCGGAGATGCAGACAGAAGTGACATGTGATGACGGCCGACAGCTGATTCTGAACCATACGAGTGAGCGTTTGTGTCGATTTATGTGTCGTCGGGGGAGTAAATGATAACCGCACGAGGCATTCTCCTTTTAAGATGAGCAGTCATACAAATTATAAATCATTAAAAACTACACTGAAAATAAAAAGGCTAGAATTTAAGAACAATTTACACCTTTTACCACATTCAGTTAAAGGCCTCCTGTAACAAAAGTTTAGACATTTTTAAAGAGGCGTCATAATAATAATTGCCACGTGGTGTTTTCATGGCTGTTTTGTTTGATCTGTTTTATGTGAATCGTATGTGAGCAGCTTTAACCCGCTGAGGTGTCTGACTATAGGGGGCATGGGCTTGTTAGCCCCGCTGCACATTGTTGAGCCACTACCTTATACTTGTCCAGGGAGAATGTAGCTCTCAGCCATTTTTAGACTGGGCTGGAAATGTGAGCTGCAGTCGTGTCTGATAATGGAACTGAGCTCTTGACAGAAGTGTGAAGACTTTGGTAAGATGATTTACAGTTTCTCCCGAGTGGATAATTTTATATGTTTTGTTGTGTGTGCCCCAGTGTCTCACAGATGTACATTTCTGAAGATCTGAGGTGTGTTTTAACAGTTTCTACTTACAAGTCTACTTTCTGTGTTAACACAGAGCTCATTTAATTAAGTGTGTTTTTGTCTGACGTAGCTGTTACCGTGTCTGAATTAAATGAGTCAAAATGGAGTTGTGAGGCTTATATTTTCCATCTGTTTTCAGTGGTGTGCTCTCTCTGATATGTCAGGTTGTAGCATTGTGTGCATCCTGAGTCTATGTTTAGCTTTGTGCGTATGTGGTTACGTCAGCCAGTCAGAGACCCCGGGGTTCATGAGGGAATCTCCTCTCTCGTTCTGATCTTCAGAGGGAAAATATCCCAGACAGGTGCAGAAAGCAAGGGTCTTTGGCCCACAGACAAGCCACCTCCTCTGCCACTCATGCTTTCAATTTAGACTCTTACTCACTGAGAGTGACAAAGCTCTGCTCAGACAGGACACAGGCAGTACACATTCCAGCCCGTCCTGCATTTGAGAATCAGGAACATCCCTTTAGCGCTGGTTTGTGTTTTCGCCCTCTGGAAATCTTCAGCTACAGTGGCGGGGGACATCAGAGCCTGCATACTGAACAGAAAAAGCGAAGCAGATGATCCATAATCTCAGCGTAATCGCTATGATATGAATTAGGACTATGTGGTGACGCGTTTCCAGAGAGCAACACATCAGCTCCCCATTCCTCTTTGTTTATTGGCTTGATTTTATAAAGCATCAGTGCCTCATCTCCTCAAAATAGATGTACGCTGACACAGAGGCTGCTGCATATGTTGCTGGCCAGCAGGGGAAGAAGTTAGAGGAAGAAGTTATTATAGTTTTACAATGACAAAAAAATAGACTGTTGCCAAGTACAGCTCCTGTCTACTCGTGCTCTAAGAAGGCTGTGCAGTACTAGTTGTGCTGGAAGGGTTTTCTGCCATTTTTTTAAGTTTTACATTTGTTAAAATACATTTTTTTGCTATTAATAACATAACATTTTAAACTGCAGTACTGATGATTGGCTTTAGGACTCAGACCTGCTGTAAGCTCCCTTGCATCTAAACACCTCTCTCATCAAGTCATAAACAAATTTTAAAAAAAAATCATATTTGGTTGCGTTTCATTATTTTAACTCGTTGATGTTAAAGTAAATGATGCTAACTGTTTTGTGCTCCTTGTCATGACAACATCAGCAGTGAATAGAAACAGCGTTTGAAGTGGCACGGCAAGCTGCTGCTTCTTCTCTTACAGGGAAAAGGATTGGGCATGCTCGTCAAAACATTTCCCTCCAGGCCTGCGCAACTCTGCTGAATACTACCGAGCCAGAAACACAACTAGGGAAGTGGGAAAGAGGCCAGGCTGGTAGAAACAGTGTCAGCAGGTTAATAAAAAAGAAATCAAACTAAACTGCGTTTAAAACAAAAATGAACATGACTATAATGGAAACAGATGTTTTTACTTCTACTAGAAAAAAAATCAAGTTAAAGAAAAATCTGAATAAACAGAGAAACGCACGAAATTTAAAGCTCGCTGGGATTGTCCTGTAATGATTGGCTTTGTTGGCAAAAAAGAAACAAAAGAAAACTGTCACGGAGATGGAAGAAACTCACCGCTGATCAGTTTACCTTGTTTGTCTTCGATAGGTGGTTCTGTGAGGGAAAGGAGCTGGAGAACAGCCCTGACATTCAAATCATCACCAGTGGTGAGCAGCACTCTCTGATTATTGCAGAGGCATTCGAGGAGGATACCGGGCGCTACTCGTGCTTTGCGTCTAACTGCTACGGTACCGACTCCACGTCAGCTGAGATCTACGTAGAAGGTGATCGCTTCTTTCCTCCTTTTTGACACCTTAATATACCGCACTTCAACTTCTTTATTGATACACACCTTCCTGTTCAATGTCACAGGTGCCTCATCTTCCGATTCTGATGTGGAACCGCACTTTGAACATGTAGCCCAGTGAGTTCCTGCCCCGTTGTCGTTATCGTCACCCACCAACAAGAGTTATCAACACTAAACGAAACAAACACTTCTTTCTTTTGTGATTTTTAAAGGCTGCAGAGAAACCAACCAAAGTCATCCCCATCTTTACCGTCATCTGTAAATGAAACCTTCCCTCCAGAGGAGGAGGAGAGCGTGTCATCCCAGACTGCAGCGGCCCCCGAGGAACAACCAGAGGAGCAGCTCTCGCCTCCAGTGGCTGCTCAAACAGCATCTGAACCTCTTCTACCAATCCGGACATCTGCTGCTATACTTCCAGTCTCAGAGTTATCAGAAGAATCTGTGGCATCAGCAGCACATCCTGCTCAGGAGGAAACATCTGTGCTGTCTGTGCAGGTGTTTCCTGTTTCAACAGGTGATTCAGAACTTAGAGAAGCCCAAGGGGCGTCAGCATCTGTCCCAGTCATATCTACTCCACAGCTGCAACACACGGCTTCAACAACAGCTACGTCACAGCCTTTAAACTCTGTAGTGCCTGTCCTGTCACCTCCAGCACAAACACCCCAGGCTGAGGTAGAATACCTCAAAGGTTTTCCTTTCACTACATATTCTTTATTTTAGTTTAAGTTTATATAATTTGATCCATCCCCCCCTTTTTTTGGACTTTTTTTCCATCTTCAGAGTCCAACTCCCAACCACAGCTCTCCACAAGGATTAAACGGGCAACCCATTATGGCTGCCCCTGTCTTCACGAAGGTAACTTTTCTCTCAGAACGAGGCTGCTCTGTACAATACTGCTTGTTAAGGGATTTAACTTGAAGCTGGTTTTGTTCCATCAGAGCCTACAGGACCTCATTGCATCAGAAGGCCAGCTGGTGGTGCTAGAGTGTCGCGTGAAAGGGGTGCCGTCACCTCGAGTGGACTGGTACAGAGAAGGAAAAATCATGGAGGACTCGCCTGATTTCAGGATCCTGCAGAAAAGTAAGTTCTTTGCAAAAATCTCAAGTTTCTCCATATTTCTTTAGATTTTTCTGGGAAAATGGGAAATAGATACAGTAATTTACTGAAACATGCAAATATATATGGAAACAAACTATGTAAAGAAAAACAGAGGGGTCACTTTTTGTTCTGCTCTGTGTCAAGATGATCCCACAATATTGATTTTGAGGCTCTGGGGAGGCCGATCCATGACTGATTTTTCTAGCCAGGTGTGTTTTTACTACATTGGCAGTGTGTTTAGGATTTTTGTCATGCTGAAAAATGAAGCCCATCAGAGGATTTCCAGAAGATTGCAGGGTGCATCAGGCTCTGTCGGTGCTTTTTAGCATTTGTAGTTTCATCAGTTTTGACAGGCTCTCCAACACCACTGACTGAGATACAGCTGCAAACTATGACAGAGCGTTGGTCGTGTTTTACAGATGGCTGTAGACAATCACTCTTGTACTTCAAGATGTCCTCCACATAATTTGGCAAAGATTTGACTTTCAAATTTGAATCCATCACTCCATAATACCCGTTGTCACAAATTTTCACACCAGTTCTTGTGTAATCTGGCATACCTCAGCCTGTTTCCCTTCCTTGAAAATGGATTCTTGATAATAGATGGATCAAGAGCCAAATGTATTTCTCAGGTCTTATGTCAGGACTTTCTGACTTTCCCATCCCATTCAGGAGCTTTACATAGTTGGGGTTTTTTTTTTTCAATTCTTTTATCCTCTACATGTCTAGGTTCCTCAAATTTTCAAGAACGTAATGCATACAATGCCAAGTCATTTCAAGTTTTCGACTTCTAGCTTTTTGGAAATCACTTTGTTGGTTTTAAAATTGATTACTTGCTAAGTTACATGTGGACACAAAACTGGTTCATCCCTCGAGTTAGCTACCTTTTTATGCTTGAATGATTCATAGGTCAGCGTTAAACGACTTTACAAACCTAAAAAACTGTTTTGACTTCTTCTACAAGGACTGAACTGAAAATGAATGAATACGTAGCCAATGTCCAAAGAAAAAATTGAAATACCTTCAGAAAGCCTGGAGAAGTATTGCTTAAGATTACTTACAAGAATATTACAAGAATGTCTGCCTCTTTAGAAACAAAATATAAAGAAATGAGGGGTGAGTCAAGACATTTGCACAGTACTGTATTAAAAAATTGTCCAAGGGTTAATTTCATAAGCTCCAGGTCCTAAATCTTTATATTGCATTAACAGATTTTAAAGCTCAGATTGTGTATACGTGTATACATCTCTGCATGTGGAATTCACCATCATGAGTATTTAAATATTTTGGAAATGATTGCTAATAATGAGTCTCCAAAAAATTCATTAACAATAACATGAGCTTCTCCCCCCTGGTTTCATAATGATTTTGATACTTGCTTCTATTTCAGAGCCCAGATCTCCAGCTGATTCAGGTACATATTTCATTCAGTCTGTCAAAAATACAAGTGTTGACTGCACCATAGCAGCTGCCTGCCTGTATACGATGCTGCAGTGTGTACATATTCCTCTGTTGAAGTGTTTATAGTCCTTGGCTCAAGCTCCTGCTCTTCCCCTCTACATAAGCCAGGGCTGCTTTTCCTTGAATCTGGACCATATAAGGTAGCCTCCCATCCTGTGTCAAATCACCGTTGCAGATCACTTCAAACAGCCTTAGCTGCACGTAGATTCTCACTGCTGAAACAAGAGTCATGTATCTTTCTTTTCTGCACTTAAACACTTTGAGAAATCGCTGGGGTGCAGCTATAGAATATCCGACTTGATTGCATGCCACGTTTTTTCTCTTTACCTCTAGAGGAAATATGCACTTTGGTCATTGCTGAGGTCTTTCCTGAAGATTCGGGGGTGTTCACATGTACAGCAAACAACAAGTATGGAACCGTATCTAGCAGTGCTGCACTCAGGGTCAAAGGTAACACCTCTCTTTGGCTTTAAAAGTCAACAGCTTTCACATTTCTATCCTTATTGAAATTTCTGTATGTGTGTTGCTGGTTCTCCTCAGGCAATGGCAGCAACAGCAACCATGTGAGGTCTTCAAGCAGTTTAATAGTGGAGCCAAGTCAAGTTCAAGAACTTTCCCCATCAGCTCCTGCTGTAAAACCTCAACCAGAGGTTGTTATAACCAGCAGCATTAAGCCGCACTCCAGCACCATTCGTCTTGACCCACTCGTCTCTAGCACCTTACGCCTGGACCCCTTAAACACTAGCAGCCTTCGTCTAGACCCTCACAACTCTAGCATGTTGCGTCCCGACCCCCTCCGCACCAGCCTGCTCAATCTGGAGCCCTCCAGCCTGAGCAGCAGCTCCTGCTTGAACTCTCACAGCACCAGCACCCCAAATTTAGATCCTCTCTCACACAAGGACCTTCTAGGATCCAGTGGAGCACATGGTGCCAGAAAAATTTTCTCATATCCGAAATCCTTTACTTCTCCATCTGCAGCTGAGACTTCAGCACAGCAGGAGTTGTCCAGATCTTCAGCGACATCTCCTGACATCAGTTCCAAAGTTAAGGGGACCCCAGCCCATCAGAACGGGAGCCCTGTTGTGGTTCCCTTACCTGATCCTCCACCCAACTCCTGCCTAAAGACAGGCAACCTTACAAACCACAAAGACTCACGAACCAACTCCAGAGCAGGCCGACGTGTGCACTTCAAACTGCCTGAGGATGACGAGGGTGAACAAAGTGACACATCTAGTCCCTTTGATGAAGACATCACTGAGGCATCACTCAGCAAAGGACCACCACCAGTGCTGGCTAAGCCTAAACTGTGAGTAGAGCAAAAAGAAAGCAACAACACGTTGCTGAATTTTGAAAAAGTGCGTTGTTGGCAACAGTACAACATGATGAAAAAAAACATGCGCTCAGATGGAGATTTTGTTCATTATTTACCCAAATTCGGTCAAACTTTGAAGTCTGTGTTGAAGTGTGTTTGATGGGCTGTATTATGAAATGAAGAGGTGGGTGGTTCCTCCTCCACTCGCTCAGATAGCAGCTCTAATCCTTTCAGTTCATAAATGAATGCATTCGGACTTCAAATGTGGACCTTCAGACTTTCTAAGACAAAGGATGGCGTTTTCTATTTGTAAGTTTGCTTCTGTGCATTTATGTTGATCGGTTACTTCTAATAATGCTGTAAATCACATCCTGTTCTATGATTTAGCTTTTCTTTTTCTTCACAGGCTAAAACACAGATAAACATGACAAATAATTTATTGTGAGCCAATTTGCAGTCATTTCATGGTTACAAAAGAGGCAAACATTTTGTTTTCACTGAAAGCTCAGTGTATCTAAAGCTCGGTCTGTGTTGTTTATGGGCTGCTTGTTGGTAGTCCATAAAAGGGCAGAGTATTCTGCTGGATGCTGGATGCACTGAGCCTCTCTCGTCTTCACCATGTATAGTTTTGGTTCTTTGATTTTGTGTCTGTTTGATCAACAGGGACCCAGCTCAGCTCCAGATCCTGCACAACCAGGTCCTCATGGAGCAGCAGCAGGAGACTGAACCAGAAACGCAAACCCCCATCCAGCCTCAGTCTCACCCACCGTACCAGACCCAAATCCAGCCCGGAGTCCAGACCTCCCCTGAAGCTCCACTGTGGTCTCCAAGAATACCGCATGTGCCACCTTTACATACTACATCAGCCCTTCAGCAAACCCCCCACTCCGCACCTCCAGTGACCACCACCCCACATGCGCCAGGATCAACGTCTGCTGCAGCACTCAACGCCACCTTTTCACCTTTTCTTAACACTTCCCAAGCTTCCCTTTTGAGCTCTCCTCCTTCACTTCCACAGCATATGAAATCCTCACTGGTGACCTCCCCTCCACCTGCCCCACAGCTAAACTCCGCCCCTTCTCTCAGTACAGCACCTGTAACCCAGATGAACACCATCCATGCCTCCCATATTAACCTGTCCCCTGCATCTTTTGCCAAAACTGCACCCACAGCCCAGTTTTGCTCTCCGCCTGCACCAAAGCTCAACACGGTTTCTACAGATTCGACCCCGGCCTTGCAGCAGATCACGTCCCCGGCTCCTCTTCTAAGAAGCACCCACGCCTCCCTCATGAATCTCACACCTACCTCACACTCCTTCAACTACATCCGACCTAAAGAGTTTGTAACCGCTCAGACCCTCTCACCGGTCAGGAGTCCTTCCCCAACAGAGTCACCAGTACCACTATTACACGAGCTGGCTGCTGAGCTCAACTCCTCCACGGCTAGCTCCCCTACTCTCCTCCCACCCCTCTCCCCACCACCCAGGATTTTCCCCACAAGGGTGCTCAAGTCTCCCACCAGCCCATCGTCTCTCGTATCCTCGCCTACACCGGGGTCAGTGCATAGCTTGTTCGTCCTAAGAGCCCAGTCACCCCCTCAGGCTTCTTCTCCCACCTCCAGCAGCTCCACCCCGAGTCCCATCCAAAACCCCGTCGCCTTCCTCAGCTCCGTCCTGCCATCCCTGACCCCGAGCCAGCCCACCAACTCAATGGGCCTGCCCAAGGGAGCTCCGTTAGGGTATGCCGTGTCTGACAAACGACTGCTAATGCAAATGTGACTGTCACACGTTCTGCCATGTGTTCTGTTTTTTGCCCTCTGTTTACTCAGGCTTCAAAAGAAGGCACTGAAGATCCGCCCTCCGTCAGCTGAAGCCATCCGCGAGAGCAGAGAAATTATCCTCCTCGACATCGAGAAGAAGCTTCGAGTTAAAGACGACACTCCACATTTTGTACATCAGCAGGTACTAGGTGGTCTCTGTGGCTTGCCTGCCTATTTTGTACTGATGAAGTGGTGAAGAAAATAGAACGGCGCATCAGCAAAAAGATTTTTCTTAGCCCAACAGGTGAATCCGGTGGTTTCTCTCGCCTCCACTGGATCACCCGCTCATCGGTTTAAAATATTAGTATGTGATCAATAATTGCAATAGAGTTTTTAATACTTTTAAAGATCATATTTTATCGAGTATTAACCAGTGACTGTGCTGCATTCTCACATCTTGTTGATGGAGACATTTATACGAAACCTCATTTCCAAAAAAACAACAATTGTGATGCAGCGTAAAATGCAAATGTAGCTAATCCGCTGATCATTAAACCCTTTATTTAAGACGACACATCAAATGTTTAAACTTTCAAATACTGTTATACATCGTCCCTTTTTAAATGAAATAAAGGGTTTACATGATTTTTGAAGGATTACATTGTGTTTTTATTGCACAGCATTCCAGTGTTTTTGGAAATGATGAATACAGAGCAGTGCAATCATTGCCTCCCCCAGTCATTAACTGTCATTCATCTTCTGGTGTCAGTGTAGCCTAACAACCTCTGCATGCTAATAATAACAGCTTGTGCGTTATTCCATCACTCTGTGTTTGTATGTAGGGTTTGTGTGTCTTTGGTGTTCTTCATCCATCCCTGTCCTTTCATAGAAGCTGAGTAATGAGGGGAAAACAGCGAGCAGGCCCCTTGGACCAAACACTGCCGCTACTGTCATTAACTATGATGAGGTACACGGACCCGACCCAAGCACTGCTTTGCTCGAGGCTGTATGGGTTATACTTATGTTTCAGACACAACTTAGGATACTGTCATCTACAGGAGTGCACATAAGTGGTCCGCAGATGTCAAAATAAAAGACGCGCTCCAGATAAGAAGTTGCAACGCGCGTTTGCGTACATAAGATTTTCTGAAGGAGGACAGACATTTGTTTAGAACTCTTAAAGATGTCAAAGAAGCAAGCTCCTTCAAGCAATTTTTTTGGTTTTCCTCCACCTCCAAAGAAATGTCAGAAGGAGTCCGAACCACAAAAGAAGCACGTATTCTCGGACAAGTGGTTGCAGGAGGTGAGCTGGCTTCAAACAAATGATGAACGCACAGAGATTTGATGCAGAATATGCCGTGAAAATCCCACTCTAGCGGACAAAAACAGTGCCTTTTATATGTATGCAAACGCGCGTTGCAACTTCTTATCTGGTGCGAATCTTTTATTTTGACAGCGCATGCGCACCTGCGGCCCACTTATGTGCACCCCTGGTCATCTACTTATCTAGTTTCCTTAATATCTCTAATCCAGCATTCACGCTTATATTAACTAATACAGCGCACAACCTGCACGAATGATGGTGATGAGAATAATAATAATAATCCAATTAAAGGGGTTCAAATTCAAAAAAGATTCAAAATATTGTTTTCCTATTTTGGAAAACTATATTTTGCAGCCTTTTCTTCATGAGTAAAAAAATTCCTTCCTCTCAGTGTTTCCTCAGTAACACTTCTACTTTTAAAAACATACATATTACCATGAAATTTCACACACCTCATCTTCCTCTGTTCTCTGTTTTACCCTCAGTTTTTGTGATTAGGTTAGATAAGCCTTTTTATTTAGCTTAGGTGTTGTTGTTTTTTTTGTTTTTTTTAACCTGGTGCTCCCAGATGCTGCTGTGTGGTCTTTCAACAACTGGTTTAAAGTCTGCATCTTTTTTTATTATGAGGTTTGAGTTTTGAGATGCACGTTGTCTCATGTTGCCGATTACTGCAAACCTCTCTTATCTCCCTGAGTTGTGGTTTCTGTGTATCAGGTGTGCATGTTACTGTAGCCATTTATTGTCAGGCCAGTCTGTGTGAGCAAACAGGGGACACGGTCCATGCAGCAGTATGACTGTTGTAACTATATTTATGTCGTGCTTCTCCTCCACTAGGAGTATAAAGTGTCCAGTTTTGAGCAAAGGTTAATGAGCGAGATCGAGTTCCGCCTGGAGAGGACGCCGGTGGAGGAGTCAGACGACGAGGTGCAGCACGATGACGTTCCCACGGGAAAATGCATTGCACCCATATTTGATAAGAAACTAAAGAACTTCAGGGCTATGGAGGGAGTGCCTGTAACTTTCTCATGTAAAGTAGTGGGAATCCCGGCACCAAAGGTGAGAGGTCAACAGCTAGGCTATGCAAAAGCATCTCTGACTTCGACCTCAGATTTTGTCATTCACACCTGTGGCTCTCATCAGGTTTACTGGTTTAAGGATGGCAAGCAGATCCTGAAGAAGAATGTCCATTGCAAGAAGATAAGAGAGGGGGACGGGACCTGTGCTTTACACATAGAATCCACGACCAGTGACGATGATGGAAACTACACCATCATGGTAGCCAATCCACAGGTGAAACTTCTGACTTATATCCTCTTCATGTTATCAGCACCTTGTTCTAGCTGCTCGAGCTGAGCTGTGATGTGATATTTCACTGATCACCAGGGGCGAATCAGCTGCTCAGGTCATTTAATAGTCCAAACGGGACCTCCCCGAAACCGAATGACACCCATTCATGCTCAGAGGTGAGTGTGCAGGGTGAACAGGCAAATATAGACTATCCTCTCTGATAGTAATATTGGTTTGGTAGCGCTTTATAACTGTAGATCTAAGTCATTCTGTTTAGCATTTGAAAGGAACATATAAACCTTTCAGAAATATTCCTATAAAAGTAAACATAGTGTTATTGATATTCTGGGATCTATTCTTAGTGGCCATTTACAAAACCAAGTGGATTCATGTGTGTGTTTCCTATAACATGCTGTGATCGCCTCCACGTTTTCAGGGTGCGAAACCGCATACAGGAAGTTGAAGGTGAACAAAGTCAGGGGCGCTTTTTTCAACCTCACTTCCTCCAGGCTCCAGGGGACATGATGGCTCATGAGGGAAGACTGTGCAGACTAGACTGTAAGGTAGGCAGGAGATCCCCGTGTGCCACTGAAGCCAGGAAGAATATTGCCTCCCCACACTGTAACACGTTTCTGTTCTCCAGGTGAGCGGCCTACCCAACCCTGAGCTCATGTGGCTGGTCAACGGGAGGCCCGTTTATCCAGACCTTTACCACAAGATGCTGGTGAGAGAGAACGGCGTCCATTCCCTGGTCATTGACCCTCTCACTCAGAAAGACGCCGGCACATACACCTGCATCGCAAGCAATAAAGCAGGGCAGAGCTCCTTCAGTCTGGAGCTGCAGGTTGTGGGTAAGGACCAAATACGATTGGGACTTTTGCTTTTTGACAATCCCAATGTGGACATTTCAATTATACATATTCGTTTTAGAAAAGGAAAGGAAGCACCCACCCCAGTTTGTGGAGAAGCTGCAGAACATGGGGATTCCTGAGGGAGCTCCAGTAAGGCTGGAATGTCGCGTTGTGGGTATGCCTCCTCCGGTCATCTTCTGGAAAAAAGACAACGAGACTATTCCCAGAACTAAAGACCGAATCAGGTTAGTAAGAACTCTGACTCCCTCAGACACGGTTTCAGAGCCGTGGCTTGATTAGAAATGAATTTAGAAGCCTGAGCGGTTAAATTTGGCAACTTTAATTCCAATGTTATACCTGCTTTCCTCTTCTCCTCCTCTCTTAATTTCCTGTCTGTATGTCCAATAAAAAGACACAGCCAAAATCCATATAACAAATTTTAAACTCTTTTGAAATTGAATCAAATTTCTCTATCATCTCTCTACCTCAGCATGACCCAGGACGCCACAGGATATGTGTGTCTCCTTATCCAGCCGACAACAAAAGACGATGCAGGCTGGTACACAGTGTCAGCAAAAAACGAGGCTGGAGTCATTTCATGCACCTGCAGACTTGATATATATGGTAAATATTCTGTACAGCTGAGTAGCTATCACTTTTATTAAGAAATCCACGGCATTTTTGGGTACGTCACTCTGTGTAGTAATGCTAGCTACCACCTTTAGCACAGTGGCATCAGAGCATCCCCGCACCCATGAAGAAAACTCCACGAACAGGAAGTCGATACGCGGCTCTGACAGGCCAGGGGCTCGACATCAAGTCAGTGTTCCCCACGTCGGACACCAGCCCCATCCTGTTCGCCAGCTCCCCACCGGAGGCCACACTGGAGAGCGAAGAACTGTGAGAGCTGGCGCAGGGGGAGGGACCCTCCAAACAGATACTGCGACCTCTCTGAGGAGAGCGATTACCTGAGCAGATTTTGTGTGATGCATTTGAAGTGACTGATTCAGATTAGGACGGCAGAGATTTATTGTGTTAAAGATGCAGCACTGATAGTGGGGGTTTGTCACCATTCCTATTTACTCAAGTTATACAACGAGTGTTTCACCTACAGAAAAAAATAACAGATTTGCAAAGTCTTAGCTCATGAGCCATCAGTGGAGTTCAGTTTCATGCGTGAAGTTTTTGAATGAATCTGATTTATTGTCAACATCATACTTGGCTATGATGGCGAGGTTGCTGAAGATCTGTTCTTAATATTTTGTCCTCTACTAAAGAGTGGTCCTGGCACCATGTATTTGTACTGCAAATCACATATATACCTGTATTGGTAGCAATAGTTTCTTTAAGACTTTACATAGAAAGTAGCTTGTATGTTTTTATTTATAGTATATATTAGACGTTTGAATGTGCCATTTAGATCGGTGTATTTAAATGGCTCTAGGAGGGTGGGGTGCTTCCTTCAGGTTCATCACATTTTGCATCACGTTTTTCATGTGCATGTTTGCCTACGGCTGATGAAGACTATGAAATAACTAAAGAAACACGCAGGCTCTTCTCATAGTCATTATACAGCCATGTTCAGTGCTCACCGGTGCCTTGATTTCAGGTGAGATAATCAATCTGCTTAAAAGCAAACTAAAGTTCAAGAAGTGTTTCCCAGAGGAATGAGTCTGAAAACGACTGAAAATGCGTCACTGACATATACAACAAAAGCAGCCATTACTACTGAGCATTCAAGTAAAAACAAGACTGCAGGCACACATTCAGCTAATGTAAAATTGCACATTGTAAAATAGTTTTCTCCTTCTCAGAATGAAGTTATATTTATTCAAATGGGTGACGTGTTTGCTTTGCTGGAACAGCTTCAACAGCACCTAAAAAACATCTTCTCCATTTCCTTCTCGGGTCTGTTTGATTACAGTTCATTTAAATATTTTCATCTAAGAGGGCTTTAAAATCCACTTTTATTTTTTTTTGCTTTCACGATTATGAGCCTGTTTTGACTCTGCTCTAATTGGAGTCCTATTAGCTTAAACTGATGCCAAATACAAGGCAAATGGGAAAGCTCAGAAGCCAATTAAGCATTGCTAATCAGTCCAATTATAGAGGATGAGAGTTCAAACAGGCATAAAATTATGTTCACCTTACGTGACCCAATTATACTCGCTGCCTCATCTGACCAGCTGCCAGGCCTACTTGTTAACTGGGTGCTGTGTGTGGGTGGGTGTTGTAAAGCAGTAAACAATCAAGTGTTTTGTGGGTTTTTTGTTTGTTTGTTTTTTTATTCTTAGATTTTTTTTAAGCTGCATTCGTTACACTTACAGCTCATTTCGTGATGAATATTGCCGTGATGTTTTTTAAAATACGTTAAACCTGATAATTGTTACTGTCTTCATTGCACTGTAACATCAATGTTCTGAACACAGTTTTGTAAGTAACTGTCACAAAATACATTTGATAAGCGCTCACATGTGTTTGAGGAGAAGTTTAGCACACAAAGCATTTCCTCTGAAAGCAAGTGTAATCTTATTTAAGCTGCTTGTTTAAGGTAAGGTGGATCCTGATGATAATGAGATTTATTAACTCAATGTAGATTAAACCTGGTCTTACACTTTCGCTTGCACTAAAGCATACGCTTTCTTCCCTAATCTCTATTTCTCCATGAGGAGATCTGGATTTTTGAGGGTGCATGATTCTCTCAGAGCAAACCAATCACTCCTCAGATGTGACATATGGCTTTTGACAGAGGGGCATGGCTGAGCCATCGGTGCTCCAACAAGCCAATCGTATGAGGGGCTGCAAAAAAAGAAAAGGGTGGAAGGCACGTAAGGGCAGGGCAACGTTGAGACGAGCCCCTCAGACAAGACAAGCAGCAGCTGGCAAACTGCATCAATCTGTAATCAATTAACCAACTGGTAGATGGGATTACATGCCTAACTGCACAGCTAACCAGTCCATCCCAAAATGACCAGACAGCATCAGCTTGTGTGCTTGACCCAATACCAGAGACCGGCATTATGCTCGGGCTCCAACAGTGATTAATCATTCATAACCTGCCTCTACACCCAAGCTTTGAGCCTGTCAATACACAGTGGCAGGAGCTGCATGTCCTTCCTGACAAAGAATGACAACAGGAAAGAAAACTCAACAAAACACAGCAGAAGCAGCAGTTAAAGAAAAAGAGTTATCATGTAAAAGAGCTGAATTGTAAACAAAAGTGAGTCCCTTTTTTTAAGAATACAATCTTATTATGTAAATTAGAGGTGTCAAACATAAGGCCCAGGGGCCAGAAGAAGCCCAGCAATGACTCCAATCAGGCCCTCTGGGCAACTTTGGAAATTGTGAAAGAGGGTGTAGATTTTTAACTTTTAACTGTATTTTCATGTTTTACTGCATTTCCTATTGATAAAGACCTCAACTGGTATTCAATAATGAACTGAAATAGTTAAGTAACAGAAAAGTTCCTGTTTTCTACTATGTACTGTAAAAATTTCTGTTTGTTAGTTGTTGTTTTTTCTCCATGGTAAAAAAAAAAAAGCAAAAAGAAAATAAATACAATACAAATGAGATCTACTGTTGCACTTATTTTTCATATATTCAGACATATGAGTGATTAAATGTTTATTTAAATGTCTTTACACTGACCCACTTAAGATCACAGTGGGCTGTATGTGGCTCACAGTGTATTATACTGATGGATTATTAAAATATGGAAGTTTAATATTTGATTCCATAAGTTTTAGCTGTACTTCATCTCAAAATAGTTACCTAGAAGTACATTAAAACATGTAAGTACAGTGCAAGTGTGTAAAAGTGATGAAAACACTGCTATTTTGAAGTCAAATGACATTAAGGTGTTTCAGCAGAATAAGTCTGAGTGTCACTGGAACCTGCTGAATGACAGCGTGGGCAGATGGGAAGGACAGACAGACAAATTATTCTGTCTGTCTCATTTTCTCGGCCGACTAAACAGATCAATTATTTATATCGCATGCAGACGCAAGTACATAAAGAACATTAATGCATCCCATACACTCTCATTCATTACCACTGATAAAAAGCCTTAAAAGAGAATTATAAAAGTCTCCACATCTGAACATAAACTGCTGCCACCCCCCCCCAAAAAAAAAATCCTCCACCGGTGCAGTAATCTTTACACCATCTTGCTCCATATTGTTTGAAAGTCATAATCCCCTGATGTGCTGTTAATGTCCCTCAGGTTACAGGCCTCACTTACACTCGCGTTGCCTCGGGCTAATCTCAGATTATGGTTCTCGTCGCACAGAGGCAATTACATTTTAAGTGAAAGGCTTCCTCTCGATGGCTTATGTGACTTAATAATCGCTTTATAGCCAAGAGTCCATATTTAATTTATATATAAATCAGATATGTTGTAAAGACTGAATCCTGACAGTTAAAGACAACAACGTAAAAGAAACATTAGACCTGAAAAGACTCATTTATGTACAGATTGAAAACTTCCTTTCACGCCTTTAGAGGCTGAGACATAAACTGGATTTTTATAAAATTCCTTTTGTGTTGAAGTTTTAGCTTCTAATACAAGAAATCTATTTTTGCATTTAACTTAATTAGAAGTCCAGCATTTATAGTTTATTAGTAGGTTTTACATTAGAGCTTTAGCCTCTATTAGTTCGTTTGCATCCTCAGCACTGGTGAGTGGAGCTACCAGATGGTAGACTTTTGGTCTTTGTGACACATGGCTCCGAGTGAAGCCATGGCCAGATAGCCCAGCCCAAGATAATTGAAATTTCATTAAGGTTTTGTGTGTGTGTGTGTGTGTGCCTAGGAGTGGGTGTGGGTGTTTATGAGTCTCCATGGGTGTGTTTTTCTCTATGAGCAATATTGAGGGTGGGGGTGGGGCAGGGGCTCCACCTGCTGCCACCTGTTCGTCTGCTTTGTCTTATAAAAGCTGCCCCGATGTCTCCAGGATCACAGACACCTTGGACTCTTCAGTCTGAGCACTCCTTGGAGTTGCAAATACTTGAGACCCCGCACACAGGGAAAGCCTTGGAAAAACAAATAAATCAAAGCTCAGAGAAGCACTGAATCTTGAAAGTAGGAACCTCTTTGATAAATCTGATTAGTTTGCGTCTTCAATCGAAAACCATGAAGGCCCGTCGACCCAGCTGCACCGACTCTGGATCCGAATCTTCAGAGCTGGACTCCAAGAGCCCGGAGAAGTACGAGACTGCTACGAGGCGCCGGATGGCTGCCAACGCCAGAGAGAGGAAGAGGATGCAGGGCTTGAACACAGCCTTTGATCGCTTACGTAAGGTGGTCCCACAGTGGGGCCAGGACAAGAAGCTGTCCAAGTATGAAACCCTGCAGATGGCCCTCAGCTACATCGTGGCCCTCAACCGGATCCTGACAGATGCCAGGAGGCACACTGGTTCTCACAGGCAGTGGCTGGACCTGCAGTTTGATTGCGTGCAGCCTGAAAACTACTCCTGCCTCATGAGGTACGACTCCGCTACCGGACAGGAGTACATCCACTCATCGCTCTCGTATCAGTTTGACGGGCACGAGGTGCACGCGTAAACTGCTCCATCGAGTAGATAATCAGTCATGTTGTTGGATGTGAATGACAATGTGAATCATTTTTCTCCAGTCTAGGAGACAGTAAATACATTTGTATTGCATTATTTTCATTTTGTATGACAATCAAAGAGTCTTCGGTTTCGGCTTGAAGCCTTTCATTTGTTTTTGCTAGGAAACCCAGCAATGTTGAGCAAGTTTTTGTTCAGAGTATAGCAATGAAACAGCTGTAGTGTCATTGCAGACCGTTAGATTGTACTGAGGATACAGGCAATGTTGTAATTTTTTTAATCGGTTATTTTGATGTGGCCCTAAAAAAGCTGTGCAATGTTTGATGGATTATGCAAAAATCACTGAGGTCTTAGATGCATAGCTGATGTCCAGATAACTAAAGTAACTATTTTCCCAAAGTGTAAATGCATGTTTGTAGATTTGAAAAAAAAGAAAAAAGTATGTTATTTTTCAACAGACTTTTTTTTATTATAGTTTTTCATCAAAAATAAAATTATTTTGTATGAAACTTTATAAGTGTTGTTTTTATTGGTACAGCTATGAGAGGTTTTCTCCCTTTTCACACAGTTTATTGCTATTCAAGTTTGCAAAATATACATATGAAAAAAAGCTAATTTCTGAGTACTTCATACCAAAACTGTGACGTTTAAAGTATAACAAAGTATGGCATTTAAATGCCTATAATGTCACTTTGCGTGAGGAATTATCACTGGGAAGAAATAATTTACAGCATGGTTTGTGTTGCACATGTCAAACTCCCTGTAAGAGCGAAGCCTCGCTCTGCAGCCTCGGTATTAAATCATCCTTTAGTTTGAAGGTCCTGTGCTTTGAGATAAGACACTTTTACATCACGGGGTGGAAAATAGCCTTTGTGATTAATTTGCATCATTTAGCAAATCAACTATCAAATTTACTTGATACATAAAGACTTTTCTTTTAAAAAAAACAGTACAATCATTTAGTTTAATGTAAGCAGAGATAATCATCAGCGACTCTTACAGCCACAGGGCTACCCATCTAAATAGCCGTCATCATCATGATCATCATCATTATCATAAGCCACTGAAAAGTGATTATTACAGATATGAGTAAGTTTGAACAGTGGCACAAGCCACAGCAGATTAAGGAAGCCTGCGTGCCAGATTCTACCACCGCTTCAGCAGGGGAGCAGAAATTAAACTCTATTGTGTGGCAGTGGGTGTGCGTAATCGCTCTGTTCAGAGCCAATGAAGCATGAACGCCCATAGCTGGCCCCAAACTCTATCCGCGTTAAGATGAAGACATCTACAGCAGTGCTTTAGCTGTAATGTCCAAACACTAACGCATTAAACTCATCTGATTACCCTGCTGTTCTTTTGTGTAGCTGTGTTTGGATTTAAGTGCTTAAGACTATAATACAAGTGGCTGGTGCTGCAAGAGGCTTGTTATAGCACAAGCAGATGATGCAAAAATTAATAAATGGAAGAGCTAAAAGTGCATAATGGAAACTATTCAGAGGCTGTAAGTGAAACTCCAATTAGACTCATTAATTCAGCCACAAGTGGTGAACAGTTGGTAACAGAGAATATACTTGACATGCAATTAATCGATAGTGACAACAATGTGCTCAGCATGGAAGTAAACTGTCTTTCAACTGCTGAATTATTCAGCCTTATTCAGCTCATGGCTGCGTGTTTATCCTTTAATAGGATATTTCCAGCAAATTAACACGCAGGACTGTGTAGAGATTCCTACAAAAGAATGAAGTTTATCATTTACCAAAGTCCTTTATGTCATTTCGAAGGATGCGAGTGATGGGAAAGCTACTCTTATTTTGTCACCTCCGCCAAGGACATGTTTTGGTAGCGAGCGCGTTGTTGTTTCTGTAAACACGATAGCTCGAAAAGGTTTGAATGAATTCTGATGAAAGTTTGTGGGGGTGTAGAGTGAGGTCATGGTAACAGTCCATTAAAATTTAGCTTACACCCACCAAGGGCTTCAAAGTCAGCTTAATGATTTATTGGTCACAAATGGACAAAAAGCCTTATAACTTATAAACTAGGATTCTTACAAGTATGGTGTGTACTGTCAACATGTAGAATTTACTGTATAAAGATTTCAGATTTGACCTCTGACCTCTTGTTCAAGGTCAACAAATTGAAATAGATCAAAGTCATAATAATGCTAGAGATAGTTGAAACTATGTTTCTTATTGCCATTGTTTGTATTGTGCTATATAACGCAACATTAGACCGCTGACCTCTTCCTTAGGGTCAAATACAGTTTCATATAATATCTTTCAAATGTTTCTAAGGTGGCACGGTGGTTAGCACTGTTGCCGCACAGCGAGAAGGTCCTGAGTTCAATTCCAACATCAGGCCGGGGTCTTTCTGTGTGGAGTTTGCATGTTCTCCCCGTGTTTGCGTGGGTTCCCTCCGGGTACTCCGGCTTCCTCCCACTGTCCAAAGACATACAGCTTGTGGGGATAGGTTAATTGGATAACCCAAATTGTCACTAGGTATGAATGTGAGTGCGAATGGTTGTCTGTCCCTGTGTGTTAGCCTTGCGACAGACTGGCGACCTGTCCAGGGTGTACCCCGCCTCTCGCCCTATGACAGCTGGGATAGGCTCTCGCGACCCTGAAAAGGATAAGCGGAAGTGAATGGATGTTTCTAAGGTTCTACTGCCTTTGTTTGTATTGGCAACATTTATGATACCAGTATATATGTATTCTAAATATCACATTATAGTTTGCATTGAACTATCATCTCACATTTGACCTCTGACCTCACTTTTCCATTTCATATCTGCCTTTAGAGAGAGAATGAGCTGCCTAGTTAATCTGAAATATACTGTGGTATAATATTATATAATGATCTTGACTTATTCACAAATCAATACCTGTTGTCCATTAACTACTCCTACATAATGTTTACATAGTCAAACTAAACATCCGTCCACCACCCCAAAGTAAGGAGTGCCCAGAGAGTGAGCTAACTTGGTGGAGGTTTGCGCTCTCTGAGTGCTTCTTGTTTTCTAATTGAATCAAATGGAAAACCAAACAATGTTAGTTATTGTTCTGCATTATATATATATATATCCAAACACTATAGAAACCAGTATGTCAATGCTGTGTGTTAGCAGAACACCTACTGTGCTGTTACGTCAATGTGTTTCAAAGGGTCTCAATCTCAAGACTACAACAGTAGACCAGCAGCTCCTCCCTCAACACAGCTGATGTCATCCACCTCTCCAGCAGGTGTTCAAAAGCTGCCGACACTGCTCAGCTTCACTTTCCTCTTTAATCGAAACACCAGAAGTTCCACACAGAGAAACACACGCGTCTTGCACCATGAAGACCCTGAACAATCGGGCTGAGAGCCACCTGACTGGGCAAGTGGACTTTGAGTTGGACAAAGTAGGTAATGGGGGCTGGGTGAACCAGGGCTACTGTAGCTCCCCTCCACCCTTCCCCCGGGTCACCACTGTCTTCAACCCCAAACCCCACTTCGAGGGGAACATGAATAGCCTGTACAACCTGGATACCCCGATAGCGCTCCCAGAGGACCCACCAACCAAAGACCAAAGTCTGAAGAAACGAAGAGGCTGCTGCTGTTTTATCAAAGGCAAGAACACATTTGAATCTACCTCATGTTGACATTTCTTCTTCGAATCTCAGCTGTATGAGCAGTGTAACAAGTACGAGTAAAACCAGTCGAAGCCTGGTACACTTCTGCTTGGCAGACCAGCAAAAAAACAAAAAAAGCTTGTGTCATGTAATTACATATTGATGATTTAAACTTCTATTTTCCGTAGCACTGTGGGGGACAACGCTGACCGAAAACACCTCTGACAACAGAGAGCAGTTCATCCGAACCACGCTGCGGGAGCTGTTGGTCTATGTCTTTTTCCTGGTGGACATATGCCTCCGTGAGTACTCCACATCAACATTTCTGCTCGTCACTGATCTCAAAAGTTTTGACTGAATGTTCAATATGCTTAATGAATGCTTAATGTTCAACACTCTGGTCAATAACTTCCTGTCCACGCTTAATCTTATGATATGAAAAATGTTTTCCTACATTTACAAAAAGAAGTTATTCAGACACATTTTTACTTACCAAAAAATATCCTGTATTTAATTTGCATAATGTTGTCATTGAAATATGGGATACACATCCAAACACATCTAAGTCTACTTTCAAACACTGTATTTGCATTACTGATCACTTTAAAGTGCTCACTGTTTGACAGGCTCTGGACTGTTGATTTAACATTAAAAGTATCCCCGTTGCTTTAATGGCTTCTACAAAATAGCCTTCCCATTTTTCTTTCCCAAAAGCCATTGTCCAGCTAGGATTGAAAGGGATGTGCCTTTTAGCGATAAGAGCTTTTAGCGTCATCCTTTGTCTGGGTTAGATTTACACTGTTTGATGAGGCCATTTGCGTCAGGACAGCGTGCTCCCTCTTCAAACAAATTACGGCCTCTCATCTGGATCTGTTTGATAGCTAAAGCGATGTAAAAACAAAGCAAAAAAAAAAAGAAGCCAAACAACAAGTCTTCAATGCAGGTTTGCGTGTCAGCATTCGAGTCTTATCTCAGAAAACTGAATGGAGCAACGTTCAGAGCTGAGCCTGACCAAAGCCAGATAGGAACCAATGACCGGGCATTAACGATGTGATTACGTTGTCTTTCAGTGACATATGGGATGACCAGCTCAAGCGCCTACTATTACACTAACGCCATGACGAACCTGTTTGTGAATACACCCAGTAGCAGTGGGGTTACGTTTCAGTCTATTGGCTCCATGGCTGACTTCTGGACCGTAAGTTTTCCTCATTTTTCCCATGGCAGTGATTTTTCTGCTACTAAATGTTTCTTTCTTTTCATCAACATTTTTTTTTTCATTTCCTTCAAAGCTGAGATGTTCTCAAAATTTTAAGGAACTATATGATTCATTTAACCGAACATGTATATTAGTGCCTGAACTCAAATGGAAACATCTTAAAAACAATTATAAAAACTGATTATTCCTTAAGTACAATATGTTCTTCCCTGCATTACCACATCACTTAAAATGACCAAACAGTGATGTTTGTGTTACTGCTTCTTTCATATCTTTTTCCACATGCTTAAGATTTTACCAATACTGTTAATTGTTACTGATATGTTTATTAGTACATGCAGGAATATAAAAATATGTCCTTCCAACCCCATAAAGAAATGAGTAGTTGTTTTACTAGGCCTAAAAATAAGAAGCTTGGTTTCCAGTGATCCTGCCTGGTAAGTTTCAAACTTAAACACATC